AAACAAAACATTTTAATAAATTGACCATCAAAATTAATAGCTTTAAGGGCTGGGGATCTGGCCGAACACTAGCGAACAAACCGTTCATGAATAAAGCTCTGGGTGCTGCAGATAAAAACTAAAACATAAAATAGTCAGAACTTTGTGGTGCAAACGACACCATCTAGAAAGCAGAAGACAATCTACAGGGTAAGATAAAGTATTTCCAGAGTATGTACTAGTGTTTGTTTTCAGTAAGTGGAGGTGCTGTGGGGGGAATCTGAATGGGTGCTGTGTTGTTTTTGGAAGAACAGAAATATTCTAAAATATACTACGATGGTGGTTACACTCCATAAATATTCTGAAAACCATCGACTAGGGGCTGGAGCAATGGCACAGTGGGTAGGGCGTTTGCCTTGCACACAGCCAACCCAGGTTTGATTCCCAGCATCCCATATGGTCCCCCCAAGCACCGCCAGGAGTAATTCCTGAGTGCAGAGCCAGGAGTCACCCCTGAGGATCACCGGGTGTGACCCAAAAAGAAAAAAAAAGTCATCGTCCAGCAGCACACTTTAAGTGGAGGATTTTACCTCAGTGAAGATGTGTTAAAGACCACCACGGTGAATTGGCGGGGATGCTGCAGGCACCCTGCTCTGGATTTCTCACAGTGCAGATGGCGTCACAGCGCTACTCATGGGGCACAAACATCCATGGGCAAAAGTAACCTTTCTCTCCACCTGGTGGAGGGCAGGGCAGTCCCTCTGCTGTCACACCCTGGGGGTCAGCATAAAGCAAGCTTCTGTGACTCAGGGCAGCAGTCACCTGTCTGGTGAGCCGGCAGGAAAGGACCCTCATGATCCAGAGCAGAAAGCTTGCAACACCGCTCAGAAATGGTCCAGTTGTGCCCATGCACAGCACTGGGCAAAGCCTTTCTCCATCCTGAACTTCTCCCACTTCCCACCCACCCACAGTCTGTTATTCTAGGTCAACAGACTTGAAATAGGTGTAGCGTGAATCAGCTGGAATTATATAATGCTCCAAGAGGAAGGCTCTTTTCCAGTTCTTAATCGTGCCCTGAGTGTTGGGGACAGGGTGTGATGCTGCCTAGTGACCCCGCCTTTCTGGGCCTTGATGGCTCTGTAAAATGGGAATAAAGGGAACTGTGTCTTAGAACTACTAGGAAGATGAAATGAGTTAGCCCCCCGTAAAGTGTTTACTGTAGTGCCTGGCACTTTATGTTAATAAACATTCCACTAATCTTATTATTAACTGGTAAATCTCATTTTATTTTTTTAATTTTTATTATTACTTTTTTATTGAATCACTGTGAGATACACCCTTACAAAGCTGCTCATGATTAGAGTAAATCTCATTTTCTTTTTTTTTTCCTTCATTTTATTGAATCACTGTGAGATAGTTACAAGCTTTCATTTTTGGGTTACAATCAAAATCTCATTTTCATGGAGGAAGATATACCAGAGTTCTACTAAGCATGTATAAACATGCATATGGCAATATGGCATAGTTCATGATTAATTTTCAAGGCTTGAAATATACAAGTACCATGCAGTACCTAGCCCTATGCTCACACACACACACACACTACACATACGCACACACACAGGAGGTTGTAAGATGTACAGCTCGTTCCTTTCCATTCCAGTGCAATCTTCTAAGATCTGAATCTGAACATTCAATGTTCTGCCACTTAAAGACAAAACAAGTCAGAAAAATCAAATCAAATAAACTCTCCCGTCACCCCCATTTTCCTCTAAAGAAGCACAAGGTACCTAAGCATATCTGAGCCTACAAGGAAGAATAATTTTTCTTCCTCTGTTTTTTCTATCTTACTGTTACTTGTGCAAGCAATTTAGACATTATTCTTGGATCTAGAAGCTTCCAACCCTCAGTGATACCTGTCAGTTTAACTCAAGAGGCAAGAGAAACTCACAAAATGCTGCTAAAGTAAGCTTTTACAGTCTCCCTCTCTCTCCTACTGAAATTCCATGTAACTAAAAGTTCTGTATCACCTCCAACTGTGCCTAACTTGGCTTCTCACCTAGACTGCTTCTATCCATCCTTTGGCCTCTGCTTAAAATTTCCTTGAAAGAGGCTCTCGTGATGACACGGAGAGCCCCTGCATCACACACCTTGAAGCATGCCTCTAACAACTTCTCGGAAGACTGCCTTTCTATCAGACCACGAGCTCAAGGAGAACAGGGCTGGATCTGCCCCGTCTGTCCCATGCCTAGCATAGTGGCAAGTGCAAAATCAATCCCAAGTGAAATGAACATCCTCGCCACCCATTCTAAGGATCAGCTGCTGCACTGCTTTCCTAACCCCTCCACTCTATTTTGACACCAAGCATCCCAAAAAGTTGTGTGCACAGCCGAGATAGGCAAACATGTCTGTACTCCTTTAGGAGAAAAATTCAGAATGAGCAAAAACTTCAACTGGACATACAATTTTAAACTATGGGCAAGATCATGGGGGGTGGGGGGGAGAGGGGGAGTTGGGAAGCGTAATCCCTGCAAACAAACTTCCAAAAAAGAAAGTGTGTGAAGTCTAGGTGAGAGCTCTTCAGTAACACAGGATATTTTCTTAGGAGACCTGCTGCATAGGAGGATAAAGGGCCCAAGGATGTATCTCTCCTTAGCCTGGGCTACTGCTGCTCCTTTCCCAAGAACACTGACCTCCTGACCTAGGGGAGTGCACTGAAGCCTCTCCGGGCACCAGCAGGGCAAGTCCCCCGTGGCACGAACTTCTAGGAACAGTGTGCCCCAAAGAAAGGGCCTTCGTGCCAAAAGGTCATACAATGGAAGCACAGGGTGTCCTGATCCCAGGACCTCACTCACAGAAGTAACTTCTCTTTCCTGGAAAAGAAAAAGAGTAAACGATGTGCCAGCAAAACAGCCAGCACCAGGCATCACATGGCAAAGATCCTAACAGATGCGTCTAGAGATGTTTTCCTTTACTGAAGGACACATATGGGGAGGGGGTGGGGGGAGAGAAGTGATTTCCTGAGCAGGAAGTAGTACAGTACCAGAAACTAAAGAAAGAAGTATAGACGGAACGCTGGGGGAGGGAGGCTTTGAGGCACACAGAAACTGAGCATAGAGAAGCAACAAAACGCTCAAGGGGAAATGCTCAAGGGAGCAGTGTGCCTTCAAAGGAAGCTGTGGGTCCATGTGGCCTTGCAGGCTGCTGGCTGCTCCCTCAGCCTCTGACCCTACCAGTACCAGGAGCAGGAGCTAAAACAGCCCACAATGGGGGTACTGCAAGGCAGGTGCCGGGAGTCAAGACCTGATCTCCTGAACACCCTCCTCCCTCACCTCACTCACGACTTCGGGCTCTAACAGGTGTGTGTGTGAGGCTGTGCCCGGTTCCTTCATCAGTCACTCAGCCAAGGCAACCTCTCAGACACACCCTACTTAAAACGCCCAGAGTATCACCACACTATCTTCTTCACAAGAACATCTGTTAGAGGCCTGGAGGGTACAGCCCCAAATCCACACAAAGAAAAGGAGGGAGGGGGGAGGAAAACGTATCCCACTGCCCCATTCTCTGAACCACTGGAAATTACTCTCTGGTTTCCAATACAATGCAATTCAAAGTAACTGGATCATTTCCCTTAATACAAAGTTTCATTCCAAAGAATCCCTAAGTGGTGCACTGCATACAGAAGGCGTTTATTAAGTACTGGCTGTACAAATTTAAAAAAGGAGAAAAGTTCCACCTGATCATCTTAACAGTCAAGTCACAGCTCAAGATACGTACTTTCACAATAAGAAAGGAGAAGAGTGTGTTATTTTAAAAACCATTCGGTTCAGTGGAGCAAATTTAAAAAAAAAAACCCTCACTAATATTTGCATCTGAGATTTCGGAATTTGGGAAACAAAAAGGGGGCGGGGGAGAACCACCACCACCACCACGTCTCCCTAGGAGCTTGGCAACTGTTGACCCGGGACTCTGACACCCGGGCGGGCAGGCTGATGACTCCAGGGAGGACAAAGGGAAAGTGTCCGCTCAGGCTCAGAAAAGGGACCTTTCACCTCCGTGGCCGCTGGCGTTCAATGGGAACCTCCCCAACCTGCGTTGTGCAGGTTCCTTCCTCCTGGGGGATCCCGCCCTCCCGCTGACCCCGAGGGCAGGGCAGCGCGCTTTTCGGGTCACCCTGGGCTTTCAGACTCCGTGGAGAAAGTGTGGTCCCCGCCTCCCGCAGCCCCCGCGGCAGGGGCAGCAGAGACCGCGGTCCTGCCCTGCTAGAGAACTACTGGGAGGGGGTGGGGGGAATGTTTGCTCTCTGCACAGACCTCCGCCAGCCGGGAGGTGCAGAGACCCACAATTCTGGGGCGCAGAGACCCCGCAGCACGGAGTAGGCGCAGAGACCCGCAGCCCGGGAAGCGCAGAGACCCCGCAGACTGGTGGGGCGCGGAGAACCCCGCATCCCGGGGTGAGCGCAGAGACCCCGCATCCCGGGGGCGCGCAGAGACCCCGCAGCCTGGGGTGTGGGGGGGCGCAGATCCCGCAGCTCGGGGTGGGCGCAGAGACCCGCAGCCGGGGGAAGCGCAGAGATCTCGCAGCCCCGGGGGCGCAGAGACCCGGCAACCCGGGGTGGGCGAGAGACCCCGGAGCCAGGAGTGGGCGTAGAGACCCCCAGTCAGGAGAGGGCGCAGAGACCCTACATCCCGGGGGGGGGGCGCAGAGATCTCGCAGCCCGGGGGTCCTAGAGACCGCGCAGCCCGGGGTAGGCGGAGAGGCCCCGCAGCTCGGGGTGGGCTCGAGACCCCGTAGCCCATGATGGGCACAGAGACCCCGCATCCCGGGGAGCGCAGAGCCTCCGCAGCCTGGGGGGAGCAGAGATCTCGCAGGCAGGCAGGCGCAGAGACCCCGCAGCCGAGGTGAGCGCAGAGACCGCGCATCCTGGAGGTGGGCGCGGAGACCCGCAGCCAGGGAGACGCGGGGAGCGCGCACCCCCGTGGGGCAGCGCAGACAAAGGCCGGGCCGGCGGGCGCACTCACCGCTCAGGTAGTTGGTCCACTTGTACAGCACCCCCTCCATGGCACCGCCGCGCCCGCGGGACCTCACCGCCCCAGGCCCCGGGACTCCAGGCCGAGCCGCCGCCGCAGGGCCATCGCCGGGACGCGGGGCCGGCCGCACCTCCTCGGCCCGGGGGCGGGGTCGCTGCGGCGGCCGCGGCGCGGGGGCACAGGCGCTCGGGCACCCGGCGAGCCCGCGGGGACGGAGCCGCCTCCAAAGCGCGGCGAGTGACCCGCCGGGGGCGGAGGCGACTCGGCAGGCTCCCTGCGCCTGCCTCGGCCGAGCCCCGGGGCCGCTGGCGCATGCGCCGCGCGCCGCGCTCGGGCCGGGTCCGGAGATCCAGGCCGGAGCTTGGCGGCGACCGGGGGCGGGGCCGGCTCCGGGGGCGGGGCCGGCTTCCGAGGAGGCGGGCTCGGGTGCCCCGAGTGGGGGTGTGTGCGCGCGGCTTAGCGTGGGACCCGCGGCTGGGCGAGAACCCGGCTGCACACGGGTTGGTCCCACTTCCGGATGCTTGGACGTCCACGTGGCAACTGGTAGGGTACCTCCTGGGTTCGCCTGGTCCAGCTCCTATCTCAAGACGGACTCATCACACACGCCCGAGATACCCAGCAACACAAAATCTGGAGGGCCTGGAAATTTCAAGATAGAATGCTGTGTGGTCGGTGTCAACAGACGTGGTTTAAATTAAATTATATTGGAAGTGGGGTGCTCCGGCAGCAGCAGACGCACCTCCAGGAGACTGTCAGAGCTGCAGATCTCCGCCCCCAGCCCAGCCCCCTCGATGAAACTATGCATTTTAATTAAAAATCCGGGGGATTCCTACACATCCTAAAATAAAAGCAAGTATTGTGTGAAGGGAATTCGAGCAGGGGGAGATATTAACTATAGATGAAGTGGAACCGCAAGATTTGAAACAAAGTACACAATCTCAGCCAAATTGTTTTAGGCATATGTGGCCGAATTCTGAACCAAAGTGTTAAAACGCATACTTGTGGAGTATTTTACTGTGGATTGTGACTTTACAGGCAACCTTTTTTTTGTCTTTAAGTTGGCAGATTCAGTCAATAAAACCCACAATGAATTCGTCATCAGAAATTCATATTTAATTCGGCTCCTTTATTTTAACTAGAATCCCTACTTTAGTGCTTCCTATTTTCTTCCAAATTGACAATATTTTGAAAGTAAAGGGAAAGTGTAAAATTTTAAAAATTCTAAATTAAGACGAGCCTGTTTAACTCGTAACCATTACGATTCCTCTAATGAGGTACTTTGCTCGTTCTTATCCTCAATAGTCTTGACCTAAGACTGTTTAAGTAAGAAAGTATTAGCAATCGAGTCACTCCTTGTGAAGTATTGTAGAAAGAATCAGAAAGCCTAATTTGACGGCTGGGTTCAACTGCTTTGGAGATGAACGACCTGATGCAGAATATCTTCTCCCCTTCTGAAGTATATTTATCTTTTTAAGTGGGACCAAAGTAACCGGTCTTACTGGTAAGTGTAGTGAGGTTCTGAACAGAAACACGCTCTGCAAATCCTAAAACACCTTTTGAGTTTTCTTCCGTTCGTGTAAATTAAATAAACCTTAGCAAGTGTCTCGGAATGTGGGATTCGGGACGGGAGCTGTCTCTCACCCACTGAGAGAGTCAATAAGTCTTTCCTGAAACCACTACCATTTCCTGGGGCTACAGAGTTTTCTTCCTACCGCTGTCGGAGTCCCGGTAGTTTACAGATGTAAATCTGCAGGAGTTTCAGTGTGCTGCAGACGTTCCAGCTGACGGGATTCATCAATCCGCAGGAGGAGGGAGGCGTGAACCACTGGGCCGGAATGTGAATTTCACTGCTGCAGCATCGGCATTGGCTAGAGAGTCATTTGATCGACAGCACTGCAGACCAGTAGGAGGAAGCGCTCTCCGGGCGGCTTCGTTGTAAAAGCCAGTCACAAGCGCGTTTGGGTTTAACTCTTTAGGCGCAGTTCCTCCCGGTCTTGGGAAAGTTGTTGAAAGTATAGGTGCCACGTCTGCTAGGAAGTAATAGTCATGGACTCGCCAAGGGCCGTTATCCTTCAACTTCCAACTCCATTCATAACTCTATGAGGTCGGGCCCCCCCAATTTTTGTAGGAACTCCTCTCCTGCGTCAACAACATGAGGCTTTTCTTGTGGAACGTGGTCCTGACGCTGCTGGTCCCTGCTCTGAGCGGGGCTCTGATTCCTGAGCCAGAGGTGAAGATTGAAGTTCTCCAGAAGCCCTTTATCTGCCATCGCAGGACCAAGGGAGGAGATCTGATGCTGGTTCACTACGAAGGCTTCTTAGAAAAGGACGGCTCTCTCTTCCACTCCACGTAAGTAATCATGCCCCGCAGGTAAAACAGTCAAGATTCTCCACCTGTATCAGCTCTTTGGGCAAGGAGAGAGCCTGTACCAAATTTTAATGTCTCTTTAAAAATCGAAGCGTTAAAAAAAAGAAAATTAAAAATTAAAAATAAAAATCGAACGTCATTTTCTTCTTTAAGAAAGGGAATTGTTTAAAGCCAGTCTTACATAACGAGATTTTTTGAAGGCCTCGTTGAAAATCTGTGGTCGGCGTAAGACAGTTGCGTTTTGATTAAAAATTCGAAATAGAATCTCCGGAATGCTGCAGAGATACCTAGATATATAACCAGGCAATGAATAATAGGCTTACAGGAATTCCCATAACTCAAATTTTATGCCTAAGGAAAAAATGACTCCATTCCATTTTTCATTATGATTCAGGTGAAATTGACATAAAACTTTCATAACTGCTTCTTGAGTAGAATACGCCCTTCAGGTGATATATTGTTAGTCTACTGACCTATTCAACTTTTGTTCTGACAGATGGCATTTTGGCCGAGAAATAGGACCATGATTTGGATCATCATTGGTTTCTTTCTAGAAATTCAAATACTTTTGAATTTTTGTGTTTATGAGTGCTTATGAAAGATTAATCCAATGCATAAGTGAAGGATTTTCAGATGTTTACACTATCATTCCTATCCTGCAAGCAAAAGAAGCTGCAGCTTGAAATATTCATAAGAGCAATGATTTCTGATTAGACATTGTCTTCAGTCCATTCCGAAAGTATTTACTGAACATTTTTTTGATGTTTTATTCTATACTTGATATTAAAGATATTCACAAGTTTCAGCTTTTCTTCATTGCCACTTTTTCATTTATCCCTTCATTACCATTCATTCTTGCATCAGTTTATTCATCAAAACCTTACTGAGTGGATTCCAGTCAGATCAGGGCAAAGTGCTTGTCCTCTGGCAATGCAAGGGCAATGAGTGGGGGTAAAGAAAGCAAGTAAGTAACTCTTGATATAGAGTGGAATGTTCAAATTGTTCACAACTATAATGAAGTCTAGATTTAATTATGCTTCATGAGGTGGGGAAAGCAAAACTTAGCAGAGGTCATAATTGAGATGGGCCTTGAATGATGAGTAGAGATTCCAGGTGGAATTGAGGAGGGAGAACATTCCGGGTAGAGAGAATGGTATGAACTAAAGATTTTTTTTTCTGCTTTTTGAGTCACACCCAGCGATGCACAGGGGTTACTCCTGGCTCATGCACTCAGGAATTACTCCTGGCGGTGCTGGGGGACCATACGGGATGCTGGGAATCAAGCCCGGGTTGGCCACATGCAGTCCAATCGCCCTACCCGCTGTGCTATCACTCTAGCCCCTGAACTAAAGATTTATGGCCCTAGCTCAGTGCTACAGTGTATATTAAATTTGTTGTTAAAGTCATTAAATATAGAGAATGATTTTCATTTAGTTTTCAATTTTTATTGCCTACATAAATAGGTATGTATAAAGGAAGTTCTTAGTTTCAGTCTGATCTTTTTCATTGTTTGTTTGTTTCATTGCATCAGGGACACACCCCGCTGTGGTTGGGGCTTATTCCTTTTTTTTTTTTTAATTGAATCAACGTGAGATACAGTTACAAGCTTTCATTTTTGAGTTAAATCATACACTGATCAAACACCCATCCCTCCACCAGTGCACATTCCCCATCACCAATCTCCCCAGTATGCCCCCCCCCCCCGCTTTCTTACCCTCCCCCTGCCTCCATGGCAGACAATTTCCCCCATACTCTCTCTACTTTTGGGCAGCTCATGAAACAGGCTTCCAACTATGGAGCAGTCTTCCTGGCCCTTGTGTCTACTGTCCTTGGGTGTCAGTCTCCTCTTATGTTATTTTATACTTCACAAATGAGCGCAGTCCTTCTATGTCTCTTCCTCTCTTTCTGACTCTTTTCAATTTACATGATACTCTCCATGTCTATCCACTTATAAACAAATTTCATGACTTCATCTCTCCTAACAGCTGCATAGTACTCCATTGTGTAGATGTATCAAAGTTTCTTTAACCAGTCATCTGTTCTGGGGCACTCGGCTGTTTCCAGATTTTGGCTAATGTGAACAGTGCTGCAATGAACATATAGGTGCAGATATCATTTCTACTGTGCTTTTTTGCACCCTCAGGATATATTCCCAGAAGTGGGCTCATATGGAAGCTCAATTTCTAGTTTTTGAAGGAATGTCCATATTGTTTTCCAGAAAGGCTGGGCCAGTCGGCATTCCCACACCAGCACTGGTTGCTTTTGTTTTTTTGAATATGTGCCAGTCCCTGTGGTGTGAGATGATATCTCATTGTTGTTTTGATTTGCATCGCCCTGATGATTAGCGATATGGAGCATTTTTCAGGAGCAATTTTTGGCCATTTGTATTTCTTTTTTGAGGAAGCTTCTGCTCATTTCTTCTCCCCATCTTTTGATGGGGAGAAGAATATTCTTCTTTGTCAAATAAATATTCTTTCCCATTCTGTGGGCTCTCTCTGTATTTTGGTCACTGTTTCTTTGGAGGTGCAGAAACTTCTTAGTTTGATGTGTCCCCATTTGTTTATGTTTGTTTCCACTTGCTTGGTCAGTGGTGTTTCATCCTTAAAGATGCTCTTAGCTTCGATGTCATGGGGGGTTCTGCCTACATTTTCCTTCATGTACCTTATGGATTCTGATCTGATATTAAGGTCTTTAATCCACTTTGATCTGACTTTTGTGCCTGGTGTTAGTCAGAGGTCAGAGTTCATTTTTTTTAGGTAGCTATCCAGTTTTCCCAACACCACTTGTTGAAGAGGCTTTCCTTGTTCCACTTCACATTTCTTGATCCTTTGTCAAAGATTAAGTGCTCATATATTTGAGAGTCTGTGACAGAATATTCAACTCTGTTCCATTGGTCTGCAGGTTTGTTTCTACCTCAGTACCATGCTGTTTTAATTACTACTGCTTTGTAGTACAGTTTGAAGTTCAGAAAGGTGATGCCACCCATCCCCAGGATTGCTTCAGCTATCTGTGGGGGTTTATTGTTCCATATGAATTTCAGGAGTATTTCATCTGTTTTTTTGAAAAATGTCATGGGTATTCTGTTAGAGACTGCATTAAATCTGTATAGTGCTTTGGGAATATTGCCATGTTGATAATGTTAATACTCCCTATGGTCGGGACTTATTCCTGGCTGTGCATTCAGGCATCACTCCTACCAGAGCTCAGGGAACCATATGGGTTGCTGAGGATAGAACCCAGTTTGGCATCAAGAAAGGCAAGCGCCTTACCCACTTCTCTCCAACCCTTCATCTCTTTCAGTCTTAACCGATTTCTTTCAAGTTTCAGAGCCAAAAGATTATGAGAACTTTGTCATTAACCATGGGATAATATTTAGCACTTTGCTACTGAAGTTCTATTACCCACGAAAGCACTACTGTCATATATCCTTCATGTAAATCAATCTGGAGTTGCTAACTCTGAGAATTAGGAAGAAGTATGTCAAACTATTGGTTTATGAGACATGTCCTATTATTCTGTAACCCTGTCTTCATAGCAAGTAGTCGAAAAGCGTTGTCATTGACAAGAAACGTGCCCAAACTTTAGTCAGTGCTGGATGGGGTAGATTATTTTTTCTCCTTATTTTCTAGACTTCTCCATGTTTTCTTAGGTGCCATTTGTTTCTTAGATCATGGCGATCAGGGTGGGGAGGCAGGAGTAGGAAGGGAGTGATAAAGGAAAAGAGGAATTAATGACCATTACCTAAATTTACTAAGCAGGATACCTTTGAAGGATAGTAGTGACTTCCTTCTTTTCTATGAAATATTCCTGAATAGCACACTCTCCTTATTAGAACCAAAGGGAGTTAATGGATGGACACCTATGCTATTAGTTCTCAAACCTTCCCAGGATCTGGGTGAGTCAGTGTTCTTGCTCTCTTCTCTCTTTATTCATGAGTCTCCTTCTATTGATCGTTTTCTTCTTCATTGCACGTATGCAAGCAACTTTATATCAGAGAAGTTGGTGACAGTATATAAACTGCTGCACTCTGGCACTGCCCATGTGGGATGGGTCGACAAGTTGGTAGTAAATTCTCTCTAGCCACTCATCCCCCCCCCCCCCCCCCCGCAATTTACCATTATTTCCTCCCTCTTCTGCATTCTAGTGTCCTTCCTGAGGTAGCATCATTCTGTGGTTAAGACCTTGAACTTATAGGTACTGGCGTGCTTGACATTGTGCAATGGGGAAATAAGAGTACTTATCTTCTATGATCATTGTCGGAGTTAAAAGAGACAAATAATTTTAGAATGATGCCTGGTGGATAAAAAATGCTCAAGCAACTGCCTCATGAGCTGGGGGAGAAGGCAGCTGGGATAAAGAAGGGACCACCAAGTCAATGATGGTTGGGGGGGGATCGTTTGGGATGGAAGATGTGTGCTGAAAGTAAATAAAGGACCAAACATGATGGCCTCTTAGTATCTGTATTGCAAACCATGGAAACCAAAGTGGAGAGAGAGAGAGAGAGAGAGAGAGAGAGAGAGGAAATTTGTCTGCCATAGAAGCAAGTGGGGTGGGGTGGGGATGGTGGGAGGGATACTGGGGATATTGGTGGTGGGAATTGGTGGTGGGAAATGTACATTAGTGGAGGGAAGGGTGTTCGATCATCATATGAATGAAACTCAATCATGAAAGCTTGTATCTCACGGTGATTCAATAAAAAAAATTTTAAATGCTCAAGCAAAGGCTGGTTTTTAATTGTTTTTCCCTTTTCTCATATCTAAGTCAACTAAAGTAAAATTTGCATCAAGAAAAATGAACAAAGAATTGAATGCTGACTTCAGGGCGGGGGGTATACAAATTAATATAAAACTAACACACATATACTGTGTATGTGTACAAATTAATGACTGTTTTGATTAATTTCTGAACTAATTAACTTAATTGCTCACAGGTGGAAAAAGTACACCAGAGCAGTAAAAATAAAGTTACTAAAGAGTTCTCATCTAGTTTGTTTGTTTTTCTCTCTCAGTCACAAGCATAATAATGGGCAGCCCATTTGGTTTACCTTGGGCATCCTGGAGGCCCTTAAAGGATGGGATCAGGGCTTGAAGGGAATGTGTGTAGGAGAGAAGAGAAAACTCATCATTCCTCCTGCCCTAGGCTATGGAAAAGAAGGGAAAGGTAATAACTTAATTTTCTTTCTTTCTTTCTTTCTTTCTTTCTTTCTTTCTTTCTTTCTTTCTTTTTTCACTATATCACTAGAGTTCTTTTCTGGATTAAGATCAGAAGTGAGTATAGCTATAGAGTATTTTTCTAAAAGTAAAATAGAGAACTTATATTTCTTTAAGTAAAGTAAGTAAGTAAAGGCCCTCCCGTTGTTCGTCGATTTGCTCGAGTGGGCCCAGTAACGTCTCCATTGGAGACTTTGTTGTTACTGTGTCTGGCATATCGAATACGTCACGGGGAGCTTGCCAGGCTCTGCCGTGCGGGCGAGATACTCTCGGTGGCTTGCCGGGCTCTCCGAGAGGGGCGGAGGAATCGAACTCCGGTTGGCCATGTTGGCTGCGTGCAAGGCAAACGCCCTACCCGCTGTGCTATAGCATTTCTTTGATATTTCTTTAGTAAATATATAATCTTGATTATCATTTGAAATGGCCAACTTAATGTCATATTATCTAAATGGTCCACTGAGCTAACAAAAGAGGTAAGAAAGGTTATGTCATGCAACTCTGTTATTACCATTGTTAACCCAATATGGTGGGCGTTTTGAATTGTGGTGTGGTACATATAGCATGTTTACCATTTTTAAAAAAAGCAGTTCAGGGGCATTAAATATAGTCACTTTGTTTTACAAGTATCACCAGAACCTTTTTTTCCACTTCAAGAGAAAGTGCCACTTCCTTTAAACAACACAAAATGGAAGATTGCAGATGGATAGTGTTTTTGATGAGTGAAACATTTGTAGACAATGAAGACATTGAGGGTTTGGATGCAGGATATATGTGACTTACAGCTGAAGTCTCCCACAGAAATTTCTGCAGGTTATTTTCTTTGGGCTACTCTGGGATTGGTGGTTGTGGTGATTCTCGTGATGTCTGGGCCCATGCAGTGTCAGGGATTGAACCTGGGGGTCCTACATACAAAGCATATGCTTCAGCTCTTTGAGCCAACTTTTTAACCCTTTGGTCCTTTTTATTTTTATTTGTTTGTTGGCTTTTGGGTCACACCTGCGGGGCTCAGGCTTTCGCCTAACTCTATGCTCAAGGATCACTTTTGGTGGGACTCAGTGGAGTATACGAGGTGCCAGAGATTGAATCCCTGTCAACCATGTACAAGGAAAGCACCCTTACCCACACTACCCCTCTAGCCCCATTCTTATTTTATTGTTAAAGTTAGTTTGTGAAACTTCTGGGGTGTTTTTGTTTTTGTTTTTTTGCTTTTGGGGTCACACCCAGCAATGCACAGGGGTTACTCCTGGCTGATGCACTCAGAAATTACTCCTGGCGGTGCTCGGGGAACCATATGGGATGCTGGGAATCGAACGTGGGTCAGCTGTGTGCAAGGCAAATGCTCTACCTGCTGAGCTATCACTCCAGCCCCCAAACTTCTAATAATTTATTTTATTTGTTTTGGTTTTTATTTGTGTGGGGGAGTACCCTGGCTGTTGCTCAAGGAATCACTTCTGGTGGTGCTCAAGGATATGCAGAGCCGGGGATCGAACCAGGGCCAACCACTGCAAGGCAAGCACCCTCACTCCTGTACTATCTCTCTAGCTCCTGAGAGTTTATTTTTAGTTATTTTTTTAAATTTTATGAAGCTGTTCACAATAATTTATTACATTCAATATTTCAACACCAATCCCACCACCATTACACCTTCCCACCATCATTATTTCAAAATTTCCCACCACCATCCAAGCCTGCCCCAAAGGCAGATGCTAAATCATTTCTTTTGTATTGTTTATTATAAATGATCCACTAAAAATGATCAAAAAGGTTTCCTTAGAGGAAAGTGAGTGAAAATTATTTTATACACCTTGGAGCCATTAAGCCACTGTATGAGAGATCATTAACATGTTGAGCCCTGTGTGCTTATATATATATGTAGACTCTTTTTTTGATCAAGATCCATTGCCTTCTACTTTACACCCCCTCAAATGTGTGCTGCTCTTGGTATATCAGTATGAGGGGTCACTCCAGGGATTCTAAAATTTTAGGTAGGGTACCAGAGCCAGAGTTACATTTTTAACTGGATGGTGCTTTGGGGGTCTGGAAAATCGGTGCAGGGTGTTGCTGTCTTTGGAGATTTTATTTATGAGTCTCTGGATCATGGTCACTAATGAGCTTATGTGGCACCCAGAGGCATCTCGTGGGTGTGACTGCCCAGCAGCTGGAAGTACAGGGAGATGGGGGAGGGTGCCCATTCCTGACTCTCTGTGAGCCTGGAAGTTTCAGTCATAAAACCTGCATACCTGGGTTTCTCAGCAAATTCAGAGAGTTTATTTTTAAAATGAGTCGAAGAGCTGACAATAATACAGTAAGAAAGATGCTTGCTTTGCATGCAGTCAGCCCAGGTTCAATCCCCATTATTCCATATGATTCCCCAAGCACCCCCAGGTGATTCCTGAGTCCAGGGTCAGATGAGCATTGCTAGAAACAAGAAATAAATATTTTTTAATTAAAATATAAAAATGAATGGAAGGCTATGAAATGAGTTTTTGTTTTGTTTTGTGTTTTCTTAAATAAAAATATATGTGGACCAGTTGATGGGAAAGCCTTTGGACTAGTTTTCCCTTGGGAACACACATGCTTCCCATGTTGCAGTGGGAACATATGCAGCTACTCAGGCTTATTTCCCAGAGGCCTACGATCTTCATATGTAGGAATTATATCACTCCTTTATTAGAATTCGACCTAAGCAATTAACTATTGAGAACAAGGCTTATTAACAGGGATAGTCATCACTGTATTATTTAAGTAGAAAACAATTGGAGCCAACATAAGTTTATAAAGAGAAAAGTCTAAGTGGAAAAAAAGTGGCTCAATTATTTAATATCGTGCTTTAAATATCTATAATACTAAATCCAAAATGTGTTTGTGCTATATATGAAAGAAAAAATAAAATCTCAGGATATATCATTTTTTTTAACTTTGTGGCATTCTCTCTCTTCTCTGGAGAGATCTACATTCTCTCTTGAACATGTTCCATTTTCTCTATTCCTTTTATTAGAATTATCTACTTCAAAAAGTAAAAAAAAAGAAATGAGGCTGGAGAAATAGTACAGCAGGTAGTGCACCTGCCTTGCATACGGCCAACCTGGGTTCGATCCCCAGCATCCCATATGATCCCCGAGCACCCCCAGGAGTGATTACTGAAAACAGTGCCAGGAGTAACCCCTGAGTATTGCTGGGTGTGGCTCACAAACTAAAAATACAAGTAAAGAAAATGAATTTTTTAAAATTGAAAAATAAAACTGCAGTGTCTTCAGTATTGTGAAAAAGTCTCTCCATGAAAGTGAATCTTAAGGAGACAAATAAGAGAAGTAACAATGAACAGTGGAGTTGGGAATTATTTTTTAGTTGTTGTTTGGGTTTTGGTTTTGGGGCATGTCCAGCAGTACTCTGGCTCCCTCCTGGCTCTGTACTGAGATCACTCCTAGTGGTGCTCACTTCCTGTACGGTGCCAGGGATTGAACCCAAGCTGCTCATATACAAGGCAAGTCCCCTACCTGCTGTACTATCACTCCAGCCCCTCGAGCTGCAAATTAGTTTTACCTTTGATTTTTTTCTCTTCCAAATAGTCTGCCATGGGAATGTATTACATATATAATGAAGAGAAAGAACTTTCCCAAGTCTTTGGAATGCTCTAGGTTGGTATAAATATAGACATCGCAGCCTCCTTAGGCCCACACTGAGCCATTCTCTAGGTGTGAATCAGGATTTCTAGCCCCAGTTTTCTGGGAAGAAAATTGGTGTTGGGGCTGGAGCGATAACACAGCAGTAGGGCGTTTGCTTTGCACGTGGCTGACCCGGATTCGACTCCCAGCATCCCATATGGTACCTCTAGCACCGCCAGGAGTAATTCCTGAGTGCAGAGCTAGGAGTAACTCCTGTGCATCGCCAAGAGTGACCCAGAAAGCCAAAAAAAAAAAAAAATCGGTGTCACATGTGAAGCATTGTGTAATCTACTTGGAGTTTACTAGCCCAACATCCATTTTTATTTTAATCATAACCCTCATTGGGGAAGAAAATCAAGTATCTTGGAAATGTTTCTATAATATTTAAATGAATTCTCTCAATCTGTGCCTCATTGTCTTACCTATATTATCTTAATTGTATAGTTTTGTATCTACATAATAGATATATTAACTTAACTTATTTAGTTTCCACTTACTTTACAAGTAGAGATCTAAATGTCAGTCATTTCTTTCTGGGTACTATGAAATGAACTCTGCTGCTGTGCACTGAACACTAACTCTGTAGTCCTCTATCCAGTGCCCTCCTTTGGGAAGACACCAACTTTAGCCTCGAACTAGTGCATGCTCCTTCTCTGTCTAGATCTGACACGGTAAGCCTCAGCACACTGTAAGTTTCGTTCTCTTTGGCACTTAAAAATGCTCTTTCATGTCTGGGATAGGTGGGGTAAGAAATATTTGAAACACTCTTATGTATATGCTTGCCTAACTAAGACCTGCATGCTACATAGAACTGTAAAGAAACGAAGTTTAACAATGATTAGCACCAAACAGAAGTTGTTCCCCCTCCGCCCCCCACCGGTTCTTAGTACTTCCTTTAATAAAGGTATTTTTACCTTTTTAAAGCTGTTTTGTAGGAGTGAGGGGGAATTCCCAAGTAATTCTCAGCGGAGGGTCAGCCATGTGTGCCCGAGATTGAACCCTGTTCAGGCATACTAACCACTGCACTAATCCCCTCCCCGACACACTCCTGAAGTTAGCAGTATTATCATTTTCACTTAACAGATGAGGAAACCGAGACTTAAAGAGGGACAGATTTAATCCTGCAGGACATAGAGTTCACTCGATTACTTACTGCTTCCTACTAGTAGAAATGGCTCTTCCATGTGTACTTGTAGGCAAGATCTTTCAGACACAAAAGTGAGCACATCACTTGTATTATCATTAACTCTGCATTATCTGAAGTCCTGTAAAGCATTTTTTGGCATGTAATATATAATAGTTATAGTTTACATTTATTTATGTTTTTGAGCCACACCCAACAGTTTCAGGGGTTATTCTGGGTTCTAAGCTCAGGAATAATTCTTCATGAGCTCTGGGGACCATTTGGAATGCCAGTGATCAAACCAGGATTGGGCACATATGAGGCAGGTGCCCTACCCACTGTACTCTCACTCCAGCCCTATTGTTTGTTTAATACCCAGATTGTTAGGCACAGTTCTTTGTACAGGTGTAAAACCATCTCTTCTTGCAAAACCAGAAACAGATGGTTTTTGATCTACTAGTTTGAATTCGTCCATTTTTTTTGGTCTGAATCAAATACAATGAAGAGTCATTTCTGTCATATGTCATATATGAGAATTTGGGGAAGGATATTTGTTTAATTCAAATCCAGAGAATATTTTCTTTGGTCCTGTGTGTCTTAGCAGTGAAACTTGAGATCTTTTCAATGCACCAAAACCCCATTTCTCTCCTCATGAACAGGTAAAATTCCCCCAGAGAGTACATTAATATTCAACATTGATCTCCTGGAGATTCGAAATGGACCAAGATCCCATGAATCATTCCAAGAAATGGATCTTAATGATGACTGGAGACTCTCTAAAGAAGAGGTGACCTTTTCTTTTTTTTCTCTTTTTTGGTTTGATTGCTTTTTTATTAAAAATGCAAAATAAATGAATTGCTAACTACAAAAAAAGAAATAAAATATAATGTTAGGCAGTAAAAAATGTTTTCTTAGAATGCCAGTGTTTTGAATATTTTCTTTTTCATAGAAATTACTATATTGGAGATAATTATATTACACTTAAAAACACCATTTAAACAATATTTTTCTTCTTAATGTTAGGGTTCACTATAAACTGCCCTTCCCTGAGCTTTTGGGAGATTCATTTTGCCAAGGCAATTCCCATCTCTAAGTTCATATTGTTATACCCGAGTTCTGGGTTTCCCATTTGCAGAGAGACCAGTTCCTCATGTGAGAATGCAAAAGCAAAGGAACCTTTATTGCTAGCTCGAGCTAGGGTCCAAGCCTCATCCAACATAGTGGAGTCTTGACCCCAACCCAAGTTCCAGGGAACATATGGCATATTGTTATGTAAGTAATGTTGGCAATTTTCCCAAGAATTGCAATGAAGCAGTCATAAGTCTGTGAGCTAATTGGTCATGCCCACCTGCTGTGCCCAGATATACCCTTCTTATAGGACTGGCTAGAGGTGTCAAGGAGATTTCCAGCTTCAGCCAAGGAGAGTCTCAGGGAATTCTTTTTTTTGACGGGGGGGAGAACAGAAACTTGTGCCCACTGCTTATTTTGCTGAAGTGCATCCTGTCATGGTTCATATGAGGTTTTTTCTCAACCTCATAGTTTATAAGAAAATAGTTATCCTGCCTGGCAAGCTACCCGTGATGTATTTGATATGCCAAACACAGTAACAACAAGTCTCAAAATGAAGACGTTACTGGGCCCGCTCGAGCAAATCGATGAACAACAGGAGGACAGTGACAGTTATCCTGCCAGCCCGGAGTGCTGTACACCCCCTGTCATCCCTCTGTCCTCCTCCTTCCCAGCATTCTGCCCTCCAGCTCCCTGAAGGAGAAGACACGCTCCAGGCTAGAGGTGGGGAGGGGAAGACAGGGTGGGGGCTTATATAGTGGGGAGAGAGGGGAAATAAAGAAATAAAATGAAGAAAGCTTAAGTTCTGTCCAAGGCGGTTGCGTAAGTCCTCCGCATGGCCGGGGAGCGCTCCTCCCTGGGCCCTGTCTTCACGCTTTGCCACAAGTTCCACAGCAGCGAGATTTGAACTGGCTGAGCTGGCAATTTCAGCTGTTTCACCTTCTCTCAGTACCTGGTGGTGTCTCTGCACTCCACTGGGAAAGGAGGAGATGGAGTGGGGAAAGGGGACAGAAAGGAGAGGTGAAACAGGGGCTGTGGCTGCTGAATCTGCAGGGGGCACCTCCTCTCTTCTGAAAGGGCCTCTGCTGGCTTTAGTCAGGCAGATCTCAGCCACTTGTCCCCCAAGATACCCACCATCCTCACGACCCCAGGTCCTGAGCCCCACTTGGCTGCCTGTTTGACCATTCTTATTGTTTTCTTTTTCTTTTTTTAAATTATTATTATAGTTAAGGGCTAGAGCGATAGCACAGCCAGTAGGGTGTTTGCCTTGCAAAAGGCCGACCTGAGTTCAGTTCCTCCGTCCCTATTGGAGAGCCTGGCAAGCTCCCCGTGGTGTATTTGATATGCCAAAAAGCAGTAACAACAAGTCTCACAATGGAGACGTGACTGTTGCCCGCTTGAGCAAATCAATGAGCAATGGGAGGACAGTGCTACAGTGCCACAGTTATCCTGGGCCCAGAGAGACAATGCAAAGTTGGAGGCTATCAATCCCTGGCACCACATGGCCCGCAGAGCACTGCCCTGAGCAAACCCAGATACAGAGCTGGGAGTGGCCCCCAGCACAACTGGGACTGCTTCCCGACAACCAACTGAAGAATGAAAAGGAAATCAGATATCCTGACAAGTGTCTCCTGTCCATTCCTGTTTCAAACTGCAGACTGTTTGCTAAATGCGTTTTGTAGGATCTCCTAGCAATTAAACACAGGAAACTCATATACTCGGATTCCTTCACCACCTGGAGAAAGGAAGCTGCAAGATGGGATTTTTTTTTTTTAATAGCAGGAAAACTCCCCACCACCCACAGCACTGGTATTTGGGAAGAAGAAGGACGTATTCTCCCTATAATTTAGGCGTCAGCTTCATGTGCTGTGGAGGGACAAGAAATCAAGAAGCAGATGGAGATGTTTATCCTTCTGTTTTAGTTCTGCCTAGAATCCTCCAGCCCCTTTCCGCACATTTACCTGTTTCATTCTAATGGCCAGAAAAGAATTCAGTCCACCATAAACTAATTGCAAAGAGTCACAGCAACTACATTTAGAGTTATATGACCAATTATATCACTTAATCACTTCGGCACTTAATAACTTCGGCACTTAATAACTTCCCGTTAGTCGTCGATTTGCTCAAGCAGGCGCCAGTTACATCTCCATTTGTCCCTGTCGCGTGCTAGTGTAGCCCAATGGCATCTGTTCGCTCCGGGAACATGAAGGGCCTCAAACCGATCGTTCATGATCTTGACGAAGAAGTCTGACCATCTGGTAGGTGGGCAGCCACGCGGTCTTTTGACATCCCGTGGAATCCAGTCAGTAACAGCTCTAGTCCAGCGGTCATCTTTAAATCTCATTACGTGACCAGCCCATCTGATTTTCGACACCTTGGCAAATGAGACAGCGTCCCTGATTCTTGATCGTCGACGGATGTCAGAACTCCGGATTCTTTCTCTCATATCGCAGGGTGATACCATTTCACCGAAACTCTTCAGTGCCACCCTAGAGAACATCATGCGACGACTGGAATGGGAAGGAATGGGAGTGAAGATAGATGGTCGGCAACTACACCACCTCCGCTTTGCTGATGACATTGTTTTAATAACACCAAACATCAGCCAAGCGGCACAAATGCTGGCCGACTTTGACCGTGAGTGTGGAAAGGTAGGACTACAGCTGAATCTTACGAAGACAGTGTTTATGAGAAACAGCCTCGTTCCTGATGCCCCATTCGCTCTCAACAGAACGACCATCTCCGAATGCAACAGCTATGAGTACCTAGGTCGAGAGGTCAACATGACAAATGACCTGGCACCCGAGCTGCGCAGGAGGACGAGAGCGGCTTGGAACGCCTTCAAGAACGTCGAAGAAATAGCTAAGAGGACGAAGAACCTCCAGCTCCGGGCACATCTCTTTGATTCCACTGTTCTTCCTGCATTAACATATGCCTCAGAGACCTGGGCCCTACGCAAACAAGATGAGAACGCTGTTCAGGTCTCCCAAAGAAGAATAGAAAGAGCTATGCTTGGAATATCACGTTTCACTCAAATGAGAGAAAATGACCAATTATATGATGACTCTTTTTCTATCCAGGATAAATTCCTTTTCATTAAAACAAACAACACAGGGGCCTGGAAAGGTAGTGCAGTGGGTAAGTCTCTTGCCTTGCAAATGGCTAAGTCAGGTTTAACCCCCAGCATCCCATATGGTCCCCTGAGCACCTCCAGGAGTGATCCCTGAGCACAGAGCCAGGAGTAAGTCCTAAGCACAGGCTGGTACGACCCCAAAACCAAAATAAAAACACATTCACATGGCTACGAAAAAAATCAATCCAATTTTAAAGTATATTCACAGCAGTAGGGCGTTTGCCTTGCACGCAGCCAACATGGCCAACCCGAGTTCGATTCCTCCACCCCTCTCGGAAAGCCCGGCAAGCTACCGAGAGTATTCGATATACCAGACACAGTAACAACAAAGTCTCCAATGGAGACGTTACTGGGCCTGGTCGAGCAAATCGATGATCAACGGGAGGGCCTTTACCTTTACCTTTACCTTTTTTTTTTAATTTTTATTAGTGAAGCAACATAAGGTACAGTTGTAGACTTACAAATTTCTGTGCTTGGGTTTCAGTTATACAATGATCGAGTACCCATCCCTCCACCAGTTCCCATTCTCCACCACCACTGATCCCAGTATCCCTCCCACCCCCCGTCCCCCCCATCCCACACTGCCTCTGTGGCAGGGCATTCCCTTTTGTTCTCTCTCTCCTTTTGAGTGCTGTGGTTTTCAAAAGAGGTATTGGATGGCAATCATGTTCGGTCTATAGTCTACTTTCAGCATGCATCCTGGGAGGATCACTAAATCTTTTTAGTACCCGCATCCTTTTCTTTCTCATGATCCTCCCCCCACACACACTCCAATATTTTACTAATTCCTAATGTATTCCCAAGGATTTTTATGTAAACATAAGCATTATGTGTGTACATTCTTACTGCCCTCTTTATGCACAAAAAGAAACCTATCACCCATGTTGCTTAGCATCTTGCTTATTTATATGATATACCCTAGAAATATCTACATTAATTGGAATATTTTTAATCACTCTTCTTTCAAAACCACATCATTCCTTTTATTTAAAAAAAAATTCATACCGGGCCAGAGTGATAGTATAGCGGGTAGGGCATTTGCCTTGCATGCGGCAGACCCAGGTTCAATCCCCGGCATCCCATATGGTTCCCCCAGCACCGCCAGAAGTAATTCCTGAGTGCAGAGCCAGGAGTAAACCCTGTGCATCGCTGGGTGTGACCCAAAAAGCAAATGAAAGAAAGAAAGAAAGAAAGAAAGAAAGAAAGAAAGAAAGAAAGAGAAAAATTGCATACCATGTTCACATGGTAGTGGTAGGAAGAGAGGATTTAAATTTGCTGATCTAACAGAATTATAGGGATATTATTAAAACTGAAAATGTAAGTTCAGTAATTGCATTCTGGCAAATCTATAGGGTAAAGAAGCAGCATTCTATCTATATTTTGTAAACATCTGAATGAAATGGGAAATTTTAATTTAAGCACTCATTTATTACTTTGTACATTTCTAAGATTGGGAGATTGTACAGCATGATCAATATGCTAATACCACAGTAGATGCTATTCCCAGACAGATATTTAAATGAAAATTTACCTCAAATAATGTTTTTAAGAAAAATATATGAAGTTCTGATCCTTGTTAGAAATCAAGGTCTAGATAATTCAATAACTCAAAAGATACAAGTTTCTTAAATATTTGTTTAATAAAGATTATCATCAAGTTTTTATTAAGAATCAGCTAAAACAGGTCTTTCACTGAGTGTTTTGCAGTTAAGATAGGTCTTATCTTTGTCTCTGAGCAATGTTCTGTGTATCAACTATAGCATCATAGCAAGGGGTTTTGAGGGAAGAGATTGCTTATCATTCTTTTACTATCATTAGAAAAGGTCAGTTCGATCATCAGTACCCTGTATAATCCACTGAGCACTGCCAGGAGTGATCCTGAGTGCAAAGCCAGGACTAAGCCTGGAGCATCACTGGGTGTGACCTAAGAAACAAAATTAAAGTATCAAAGTGGTTGTTTGTCCTCCCGTTGTTCATCAATTTGCTCAAGCGGACACCAGTAACGTCTCACAACAAATTGTGAGACTTGTTGTTACTGTTTTTGTCATATCAGATATGTCAAGGGTAGCTTTCCAGGCTTTGCCGTGCGGGCGAGATCTCAGTAGTTTGCCAGATTCTCCAAGATGGGTGGAGGAATCGAACCCTGGTCAGCTGCATGCAAGGCAAATGCCCTACCCGCTGTCCTGTCGCTCCAGCCCAGTAGTTATATATAGTTAAACAGTTACCAGTCTGCTCTTTGACATTGATTGACGTGGTGTGGGTATCTTCTGAATTAGAATTAATGAGATGCTTTATTTTCTAGGTTAAAGTGTATTTAAAGAAGGAGTTTGAGAAGCATGGAGCAGTGGTAAATGACAGTCATCATGATGTTTTGGTGGAGGATATTTTTGATAAAGAAGATGAAGACAAAGATGGATATATATCTGCGAGAGAGTTTACATATAAACACGATGAGTTATAGAGATAGGCCTGCCTTTTTTATATATTACCTACCCTTAAAGATCATCTTTAAGGAATATCAGTTTTTTTTAAAAATAGTGTTCCATTATTTCTTTGTTTTAGTCATTTTTATATTTTTCTGAATATTATTTGAAGAATTCCTTAGATTTCTTAAGTACCCATTTTTTTCTAGTGAACAAAAAATTAACTTCTCATTGCCACTGAGAAGAAAAAATGAACTTGTCTTTGAGTCGAAGACTTCTAGACCGTTTTCTACTTGCAGTTGTGCACTCTTCTGTTTCACCTGCTTATTTGTAATTTTAAAGTAGTGCAGCAGGGAACATGCCACAAAATGAACCTGGTAACAGCAAACCAGTGCTCTTAACTTCAGCTTCCCTCTAGTTTCCCCCAGTGAGATACTAATATTTGAAAAGTCTTTTGCAGGAGCACAATGCTTACTGTTTTCACGTTGCAGGCTGCACTGCTACTCAAAATTTCAGTGTTCCTATATAATATTTTGTATTCAATCCCTGGTGCCACGTATGGTCCCCTGATCACCACCAGAAATGACCTCTGAACACAGTGGAGAGCAAGCTCTGAACACTTTCAGGTGTGGCCCAAATTCACATTCCCTCTCCCTTACCCAAATCTTGTACATGGTAATAGTGTTAAGAGAAAAACAATTGTCCTTCATTTATATGGCAAAAGCATAGTGTTAGCAGATCCAAAACATAATCTACCATGTCATACCATACGGTACACAAAAGTACACAGGGTTATAAGCAAGACTGACTAGTAAGTCTCAGCTTCTCTGGAGTAGTTCTGGGGAAGAGCTTGGTGGCACCATACTTACTGCTCTGGATACTCACTGCCTTTGGAATGGCTGCTGCAAAGTCAAACTCTGAATGCTAGCCGGATGTTCCGACTTTCTGACATCATAAAAGCAATGATGTTCTTTGAACTTTATTCAGTCATTGAAAACAGGTACAAAATTAGGTCTTTCATGAAAGCTAAGTGGCCTTACATGAACTTTCAAAGAGCAGAAGATACCTGAATCAAGAGCCAGTGGGCTTATAACTGCCTTTTAGTTTCTGCTGAAGGGAAAGAGGAAAATGGATGTTGAATTGTACTCAATAGCATTTACTGCTTCGCTGAGGAGAGATGCAGTGCTAGGGTAGCAACTTTAATAACTTAAGAATCCATAAACAGTGAGACATTTATTTCACCCAGGACTTTATGCTATGTAAGTTTGGTTCCCAGTGACTAGTGATGTGTCATAAATAGGATAAATTATTTATGTATTTCTTTATAATAAAATGCATCAAAATACTGTCACAGAGTTGCAGTTATATCTGTTCAGTGCTTATTTTTTAAAAACCATCATATTGCTCTTCCTAATTCTTTAAGGAATGAATAAACTTCATCCTAGTGTGTTATAAAACTGTCTCAAGAAAGAAATTAAAAAAACCATTCAAATTTCCTCAATTCTGCCTCACGTAAAAATAAGGCAAATAACAGGGACTGGAGAGATACAAAGGATAGGGAACTTACCTTGTATGCCGTCAAATGCCTGGCACCCCACATGGTCCCCAAGCTCTGCCAGGAGTTGTCAATCCCTAAGGTGCAGAGCCAGCAGTAAGCCATCAGCACTGCTGGGTATGACCTCCAAAACAAAAACAAAATTATACACACACACACACACACACACACACACACGAAGTAACAACAAATACTATTAAGTGGAAATTGATTCTGAAATTATTTTTTTATTTTATAAAGTATTTTATAAATTAAAAAGTACTATATATAACCTATCAAAGTAGAAAATGATATTTAAATGACATTTAGTAGTATTTAAATGTGGAACAGAGTGAAGTATGATTCTGTGATTGAAATTGTAATGTCAATGGTACTAAAAGTTATCAATGACTGTAGCAGTATACACATGTATACATATATGTACATAAACACATACATATTTTACCACTCCCCCCCCTCCCGTGATGCTTAGCGTTACTTCTGGCTCTGTACTCAGGAACTGAAGGGACCATACTTATGCTCAGGGACCATATGGGATGCTGGGAATTGAACATTGGTCAGCCACATGTACAAGAGAAGTGCCCTGGTATAAGCCCTGGTATACAAGAGAAGTGCCCTACCTGCTGTACTATCTTTTCAGCCCCAATTCAAAATATATATATACATATATATATTTAACTCAGTAAATTATAATTTGATGGGTTTACACTGCGCCCGGGGGCCAGTTGGTGGGTGTGACCCCTGCCTACTGGAATTTGGAGGATCTGGGTGGAGGATGCTCAGCCCTGATCCGAGTAGGCTTGGAGATCTCAGCCCCGGGACCCCGCGTGCCTTTGTTCCCCTGCCGGTGCCTTCATGTGTGCGGAGAGTGGTCTCAGAATGGTGGTGGCTGGTTCTGGAGGTCTTCGGCTGCCAGAGCCCTGGTCAGGGTGGGGAGAAAAACTCAACCCGCTCCCCTCCAAGGGACCCCGGCAAGGACAGCCAGGTGCGGGGGCAGGAGACTTTGCCGGGTAATCCCATCAACGGCCAAGACTCAGAGACTATAAAACCCAGCTCCTGGAAGCACGGCCGCAAATGCAGCTGCACGACATCTTATCATCTCATTCCTACTTTGGACAAACTGCCAAGCTACTGAATGTAACCTGCCCACACGGCAGAGTCTGGCAAACTCCCCGTGGTGTACCCAATATGCCAAATACCAGTAACAATGAAGGGTCTCATTCTCCTAAGTCTGAAAGAGCCTTGAATATGGCACTTTTTTGAAAATCTCAGGGCTAAGACGAAGGACGAAGGACACGTTACTGGGGCCTGCTCGAGGCAATCGAGGAATAACAGGATGGTCGTGATTGTGATAAAGTAGTTCACAATATTTGATTACATTTAATATTCAAACACCAATCCCACCACCATACACTGGCCTGATTCTGAATTTAAACAAAGAGATTTTATGTGATTTTAATTTAAACTGGCTTCTAGTACTTTAAGACAAGAATGCCTCCTTTGCATGTGAAAGGTCTGGGTTCAAGTTTCTGCATCACATGGTTCCCCCAAGCCCTGAGGAGCTTTAAGCCAGGAGTAGTCCCTGACAGAGCTCAGCGTACTATCCAAACCAAACAACCCTCAACTCCCAATAAAGTATTTCTTAAGGTACCTATTTTATTGTTGAGGAAATTGTCAAAGAGGTTGTGGGGCCCATGGTTAACAGCCAAGCTGCAGAGCCAAATTTCACTGCTCTGTGTAAGTGTCTTTCTACTGCTTTCCAATATTGAAAAAATGAACACTTTCTTTGAGGTCATTGGGCTTAACTCTCTTCCATTTATCTTCTACCAGTCATTGCCGGTTTTTATCTTTTAATCTTTATCCTTTCAAGAGAGTTTACTGGCCACATCTGGTACTTTAGAATTCTATGATCTGGGAATGGTTCTGATTTTATTGAATCCTCTTGAGATTGGCACCAACTTGCCTCAAAGAGATAAATTTGTCCTGTCCAGTGACCTTTCATTCCTCTGTACTGCAAGGCACTCTGACTTGACTTTTTAGAACATTATCAATGATCATCGGCCACCCTCCAGAACTCATGGCTTCTTCTCCCAGAAGGGAACATAAAATGAGGCCCCCATACCATGCCTTTTAGTTTCTGCTGAAGGGAAAGAGGAAAATGAACTCTGTGCCAGGCTGTTTTCACTCGAAGCGCCCCAGAGTGGGGTGTGAGAGCCCTTCCCGCCCCAAGGAACCCAGCCCCAGCAGCAGACCTCCACTACCCAACCACTGCCGTGCTCCAAGCTGCTGCTTTCCACATGCTCAGGCCGAGCCTCACATATGAGTGAACATATTCCTGACACATTATAAGACACTCCCTACCCATTTTCCATAATTACCACACCATATTTGATGGGATTCAGAGAGTAGGCAACAAGTCATAGAGGGAAATACATACATACACACACACACACACACACACACACACACACATATATATATGCCTCTCAGAGTGCCCAGAAAGCTACCATAAGTATCCCGCCCACATGGCAGACAGAGCCTTGCAAGCGACCCGTGACGTATTTGATATGCCAAAAACTAACAATAATGGGTCTTATTCCCCTGACTCTGAAAGAGCCTCCAATACGGCAGTGTTGGGAAAGACGAGTAAGGAGAGGCTGCTAATATCTCAGAGCTGGAATGAATAGAAACGTTACTGGCATCCACTTGAGTAAATCGATGAACAACAGGATGACAGTGATACAGTGATCAACGATTATGTATAGACTACTTTGTTGACAATTTCCTCATCAAAACATAAACTTCTTGGGACCAACAAAATATAACACCTTTGATGAAGTCAGTTATGTCTAGAAAAGTCTTCATTACCATTCAACTTTCAGCCTGGAGGAGTATAGAAGACATAATGCAGAAAACCTTTCACTGAATTAGAGGAAATGGAAAGTAACTGCCCATATGGTGTTACTTCACATGGACATTACTTAAGGATGCTATCTTGGTGAGTGAAGAAAAATAAAAAGAGAATGGGAGGGAACTCTTGGTAGAGCACATGCTTTTTATGAGTGTGGCTATGGTTTGATCTCCAATACTTAAGAAAAGGAAAAAGTACTGGACTATTAGAAGCAGCATATTTCTGAATTTCATGTCATTCTGTATCTGCTTACATTGAACTATTTAGAAAGATGTAATGAAAACATAACTAGGGCATAGTTCTTTTTTAAATTTTTTTCCTTCTTAGTTGAGCTGGTTCTTTGTACCTTTCCTTTAGTGAGATAAATCAATTTTTGGGGGGGGCACACCCAGTGGTGCTCAGCGTTGAAATCCTGGCTCTACACTCAGGCAGTTTGTAGTGCCAGGGATTGAACCTGGGTTGGTCACGTGTAAGGCAAGTATCCTGTCTACTATCTATCATTCTGTCCCATGGAAAAGTCAGACTGGAGCTGTGACCTCCTCACTTATAGTTCACTGGACTCTTTAATATTGCTAAATGTGTCATACTTACTTTAATTTTTTTCAAAATAATATTTTTTGGTAAATTGTACTGTGAA